GTCACAATCAAGAAAGGAATCCCAAAAAATAACAGTGACTAATGACGCTGCCATCTCACCCTCGCCTCTCTCTCTCTCTCTCTCACCATTTTGAATTTTAAATTTCTCTCTCTCCTTCTCTCTCTCCCTTGCTTGTTTTCCACTTCTTTTGCCGCTCCCACCTCTCTCTCTCTCTCTCTCGGTAATACAAAATAAAATAAAATAAAATACACAGATAATAATATTTTAAGTCAGTGAAGTTCCTTTATCACCCTCCTAATATTCCCTTGCAGTCAACAACAATGCCCTGAAAATTCAAATTTTCTGTTTCAAGATAAGAAGTTGATGCGTATTAGCTAGCCATGCGTAGTAATCAACTGTCTAATTTCAGGTACCCATCTTTTCTCTTTTCACGTCTTGGTTCTTTCTTGCTTTCGCATCCTCTGTTAGCCAATTTGCTAGGAAAGTGTGTCGGGGGCTTTTTGTTTATCTATTTGTATTTTGAGCTAGGTTTGTATTCTTTTCGCTTAGCTGTTCGATTACTTTAATAATTTTCTGTGGTTGGTGTTTCAGTTTCTCATAATCTGAATCCCTTAGAAGCTTGTCGGTGGATTATTACCTTATTCGGATGCTAAGTTGCAAAAAATCATTACGAATTTCTCAGCTTTTTTTTTTGGTTGGTAGCTGTATGTGATGGAGTTCTTGTGTATCATTAATTTTTATCTAGTAATTAGAAGCTGCATTTTCGGTTTGGTGAGCTATAAAAGCATGCCTATGATGGTGTAACTGTGTGCTTGCGTGTTAATGGATTGACTTGCACTTGCATTTCCTTTGGCTAGGTGTAGGGTTTTAGTATTACAATCTATGAATTGTTGGATTGTGTACTTGGGGGAAAACTAAAACCCTAGAAAACATGCCAACCCCAATTGTAATAACGCATGTGTGTTCAAGTGCATTGATTCTTGAAGCATTACGTGCTGTCTTGAGCTAAGTAATTTGGCTTCAAGTATTTGCCACCTTGTGTGGGGCTTACTGTGGCTTTTATTTTGCTTCCGTCCCTGTAACAACCAGAGGAGTTTGGTTGGTTGGTTCTATGGTGTGCAGTCGAAGTTTTATTTTATCCAAGATTACTATCTGATGAAAATTTGAAATGGTGGATTTCTTTTTATTACTTTTTGTATGTTAGTTGCTTTGCAGATCTTATTTTACTGTTTAGTTGTTGTTGATAATTTTATAGATATACTTACTGCCATAATTTATCGTGTTATCTTGCTTTTCTGTTTCCGGGGCATCATCGCTGTAGCTAATATTATTTCGTGAATAATTGGTGCGTCGCCGTGCTAAATAGTAAGACTATTTGGAAGACTCTGAAGGGAGGTGGGTTTCACAGAACTAGCCATGGAGCAGTATGAAATTCTGGAGCAGATTGGGAAAGGTTCCTTTGGCTCAGCTCTTCTTGTGAGGCATAAACATGAAAAAAAGAAGTGAGCATGCTTGCTTAAGTTTTTATGCGTATCGGCATGTGTGTGTTTATTGGCCTAGCGTAGCATTTGAAATTCTGAGTGTTTTTAATTTGTTTCTTGCTGTTCTGAATTAAATCCTGTGCTCTGGGAAATAAGATGTTTGGTATTCATTATATTCAATGTTTTTTTTTTTTTGTCATGGTTTTCCCTTTACTTCTAGATATGTGCTGAAGAAAATTCGTCTTGCTCGTCAGACTGATAGAACTCGCAGGTCTGCCTACCAGGAGGTCAGTGTATTTAACTTCTCTTTAATTTGAAGAACTGAACATGAACTATATTCCTTTTCTGTTTAAGATCGAATACATGCTAATAAGTTGTATCTTGAATGAATCATAAACATCAGAATAGGTTACACTTATGGAATTGGAAGAGATTCTTAACAAAATTTGAATGACTAAAGCTTCACACATGTGTTTGTTCTTAGATCTAGTTATGATTTTCTTTACTGTTGTTTATTGCTGGAGAATTAATTGTTTGATATGATGTATTGCATTTGCAGGACGTTGCTCTTTTTTCTTTTTCTTCATTTCTGGTGGTCCATAAATTTTAATTTATACACAGCGTTCATTTTTCACCAAAAGTTATATCTTCAGAACTTAAGATGATGAAGTTTTTTGTACTGCAGATGGAGCTTATTTCTAAAGCAAGTAATCCCTTTATTGTGGAATACAAAGATTCCTGGGTAGAAAAGGTATGCAGGCCTTATTTTGTGAGCTATGTTTCGAGAATCAGCTATTATGCCATTGAGTAATTGGTATTACCTTTTACTCATGTCTTAACTATATGGAAGTGGTGATAGTTAAACCCATTTTGATGTTGAATCATAGTGCTAAAACTTGAAAGTTCTTTTTTTTTTTTAAACTGTGATTACATGTTGAATCATACATAAGTTCGCTTCTATGGTGCTTTATTGTTGTGCAATTGACAACTGGCCTCTTCATTTCCAGGGCTGCTATGTGTGCATCATTATAGGATACTGTGAGGGTGGAGACATGTAAGTTCAATTCTTAATATAGTTTTCAAGAAAAGTGGATATGACTTGATTTGTTGTCTTCTTGACTTCCCATCCCCATTTGTTTTTCTACAGGGCTGAAGCTATAAAAAAGGCCAATGGTGTTCATTTTTCTGAAGAGGTAGTTGTTCTTGCATCACAACTGCGTTTCATTGACGCTGCTGCTCTATAGCGTTCATTTTGATGTCAAAAACTTAGTGAACTTCTTTTAACTCATGTATGTTCTGCCTTTGACTGATATTGTGCAGAAACTTTGCAAGTGGCTAGTTCAACTCCTGATGGCTCTTGATTACTTGCATGCTAACCACATTCTTCATCGTGATGTCAAAGTCAGTTGCACTTTTTGCTGCAAATACTGAAATAATAGTTGATATTTTATGTATGGAAGCTCACATATTATTCTTCTCTAATGGTGTTCCTAAATTGCTCCAGTGTTCAAATATATTTTTGACAAAAGATCAAGATATTCGACTAGGTAAATAATTCAACTAGTATTATGGTCATTCCTAACTGTCTGAGCTTGTTTATTCAAGATTCACTTGTACTTTGGTTTGCAACACTTGATGTTTTAATCTATACAAACTGCTTATAGACACCTATTGTTGCAGGTGATTTTGGTCTTGCTAAAATGTTAACTTCAGATGACCTTGCTTCTTCTGTGAGCACTATGTTTATGAGCTTTATTCCAATGTTTTGTCTTATCCCTGATATAATGATCGTGACTAAATATTCTGGTCCTAATACAGGTTGTGGGAACTCCCAGTTACATGTGCCCTGAGCTTCTTGCTGATATTCCCTATGGTTCCAAGTCAGATATTTGGTCTTTAGGTTAGCTACTCACTTGTTTAAAATCATTTAAACACAGCAAACTGATTTTTTTTTTATTTTTTTTCTTTTTTATGTAACTTATCGTGCTTTCCAGGATGCTGCATATACGAGATGGCAGCTCACAAGTCTGCATTTAAAGCTTTTGTGAGTTACTAATATACTGTTTGTAGAAACAGTATGGGCTTGTTTAGGATGTTGCTTAAACAAATTGAAGAATTCCATTTCATTGTGCTTTTCAATATGTACCTGGTGCAGATCTTCATAGAATTACCTTTCTTCTTTTTTCTTTGAGCAGGATATTCAAGCACTGATTAACAAAATAAATAAGTCCATAGTGGCTCCTCTTCCTACTGTGTACTCTGGTCCCTTGTGAGTCCACCTCTCACATCATGAATAAAAAATGTTAGCCATTTTGGCTTTTCTGATGTGCATTGATAGAAAGTTTTAGCAAGTCTTATAATTGTTAGTAGACTTAGTTTTCATGGTTTTTCCCTAATCTTTTTCTTTTTTAACGTAACCTTTTCAGACGGGGGCTGATTAAAAGCATGCTGCGAAAGAATCCAGAGCTTCGACCAAGTGTATGTTTTCTCCCTCCTGCCTCCAATTCCTGTTTGGTTTTAATGAGCATCTTTATATAGGTTAACAGGAAAAGACATTCAAACACGTCTGTATTTATACATTCATTGTTCTGTGGTCCTCCAAAGTGATTCTTCCTATGCATAATTAATCTAGGAGTACAAACCTAATTTGTTCGACTTGGAGAACAAAGTTTGTCTAACTGGCCAAAATGATTTGGAGATCAAAGTGGCAATAGGTTTAGGGTTGATTATCTAGTTCACTTCCGTTCAAGGGTCTTCAGACTCTTGTGGGTATCTGGGCTGTAAATATGCATTATTTGATCCCTGCTCCTGTGAATTAAGAAGGCTGGGCTTGAATGTTAGGTGTTGGTGCCAGAGTGTTACCTTGATGTTGGAGCCTTCTTGCGACCACATTTAAGCTTCAGGTTGTAGAGTACATAAAGTTTCCCAGAAGATTGCAAAATGTATTTATTTATACCTCGAATACTTATTGGGGAAATTCAGCACTGTATGACATCAACTACTTTAGAGTGGAAAGCAAGTTGGTTGGTTTGTTTAGTCTGACATCTATGAATTGTTCGCTTAAATTTGCTTTGTAGGTTATGATTCCTAACTGAAACCCATGCCTAAGTGTATGTCTCATCATGTTACATGTGCTTATTAATTTCTAGGGTGAATAGCTGCATGGTAGACAGAGCATATAGGTTTTATATCTTCAATTTTCTTTATAGTATTTATTCAACTTCTTGAAAATTAGTTCTTAATGTGCCAGGCTGCAGAGTTGCTTGGTCACCCACATCTTCAACCTTACCTTCTTAAGATTCATTTAAAGTTGAATGGCCCGAGACAGAATACTTTCCCTGTCGAATGGTCTGATTCCACCTTCATAAAGAAAGCTAGTTTTGTGGATCCACAAGCTGTTTCCAGTTTTACTGCCAGAGAAAAAAGGCGATCATTCAACAATGACAGGGCTTTGAATCCTAGCATATCAGGAACTGAACAAGACTCCCACCATTCTTCTCAAAGAGATCAGGAATCCCCAGCCCCAATTTATTTGAACCAAAGGTTCACTGAATTATCTGTCGGTGTTGTCCATGAAGAATTTGGTAATACGGCAGCAAAGTTCTCAACATATGCCAGAACCCCAAGATTGATGCCCTCAAAAATTTCTGCTACTCCTAGAAGGCAGTCAACACCATCCAAGATATCATATACCACTTCAAAGCGTGATTCGGTGAGTTTTAGGTATAGAAATGAAGTGTTTCATCTGTTCAAGTAGCATCTATACCTACTCTCATGTTTTTTTTTTCAGTTGAAACTTGGGAAATCTGACAACATGTTAGATGTGGGGCGTTTCTTTGATTATTTAGGTTCAAGTATACTGAAGGTGTCCCCTTGATCTGTGATGTGTAGATCACTGATATGTTTTAGGAGCATATTGTTATGACCTAGAGGGCCGCGTTATGCAAGCTCTAGTGCTGGCCTTGTCTTTTTTATGTTGGAAGTTAAGCTGTCATGTTTAGGAACACCCACTATGGAATGTGTTTACAGAAAAACACGAACAGCTCCTGATGAGTTAAAAAGCAGAAGCATTATCATTCGCTAATTTAATGGTATGCTCGTATTCGCAGCTTCCAGTTTCATCTACTACAGTGAGCAAATCTTCCCATACTGCACGCAGAGCATCTCTTCCATTTCCAACGAGAGCTGCAGCAGCAGGAACCCATTATAAGGCCAGTCATGGTCTTCTTCATAGCATGGATTCTCCAAACGTTTCTGTGAATGCTCCACGAATTGACAAGATCGCAGAATTTCCATTAGCCTCTTCTGAAGATCCTTTGATTCCCATCCATGGAACGTCAACTTCAGCACAATTCTCTTCATCGCCCTACAGCGTGGACTGCTCAATCACAAAGGACAAGTGTACAGTTCAGGTTCTAGAGAGAGCTATATCCAAGCACCGTGTAACCGATGCTTGCCAGCGAATTGGAAGTGAATGCTCAGAGCATAATCCAACAAGTGGTGTTTCAAGCCGTTCTTCCTCAGACTCTAGACAGCAGCGCCGGTTTGACACCTCGTCATACCAACAGCGTGCCGAGGCTTTAGAAGGATTGCTTGAGTTTAGTGCGCGCCTTTTGCAACAAGAACGGTTTTCAGAGCTTGGGGTGTTGTTAAAACCATTTGGGCCCGAGAAGGTTTCTCCAAGGGAGACTGCCATTTGGTTGGCTAAGAGCTTCAAAGAAACTGCAGTCTAGGAAGAAACATGAAACAAGTTGTCTTTCCTTGTCAACACACGCGTATAACTTTGTATTCCCATAGAAAATTAGTCTCAAACTCTCAAGCCTTCACACTCGAAGGTGCTTAGATGCAAATAAGGTGTGCGTATTGATCTCTCACGGGAGAGCTGTTTTTGAACTTGAAAGTTTTACAAGAACGATGAAGAGGGAAGTTTTGGAGCAGGCATCCAATTGACCTCTTGCCTTCCGATGATTCGGCCACCGTGGTGTATAGGTGTAACAAGTAGAGGCTTTTGGTCCAAACGGAAGCCAGATTTCTAGAAGCTTGTAATTTTAGATATAAACACTGTTTTTTTGCTTTGTGCTTGAGAAATGTCACGTTCCCCGTAACGTGATGTTTCTCAAGGGAGTGACTATTATAGTTAACACGTGTTCTTCAAGTTTAACAAGACCACTTTCCCTTGGTTTAAATAATTTATTCAGAGAAATTAAGAGACGAGTGAATAATTTTTATTGTCTTGATTTATTTCAATCCTTCCATAATTTAGCACATGAAGAAACAAACGGTTTCACCGTGGCCCAATAACAGTCAAGCAGGGCCCAGCAAGGTTCACAGTATGACCATCGTCCTGCTTTCTGTGTGATCGAGTTCGACGATGCCAGAGAGAGAGACAAGACATGGCAGAAGCGGGAGTGTTAGAATTGTATGAGCTGCACTACTCTGATTTGTTGCTGTTATCATCAACTTCACCGGTACCAGAAGAGGGAGAAGAAAGAGCGGAGAAAATAAAGAAAACAATAATGGAAACCCTAGGCCCAACTGGCCCAGGACTTCTTTCCATCACTGGTGTCCCTAAAGCTTCCATTCTTCGAAAAAGGCTCCTCCCTCTCGCTCGCAAGCTCGCTCTTCTCGGCCACGATCGCCGCAAACACATCCTCAAGGTTTTGTTTTTTTCTTATTAAAAAAATTATTGAACTTTAGATTGTTTTATTTTTCAAGGTGCCAGTGTTTAAAGTGACTGGATTGGATTGATGAAACTATTTTAACCTCATTTATTGCTTGGGGTGGGTTATAGCTTAGCACCATTGTTAATATCGAAAAACGGGAAAGCAAAAATCAATGCGGTTAATGCATCAGTTCTTTTTTAGTATTTCTACTGTTTTCTTTAAATGATAGTATTTTAAGCAACAAAGCATGGAATTAATTTTTTTTTTCTTGTGTCTGCTTACGGCGGTCATTGGATGGCGGGTGCGATTGTATTTGAGTCAGAGCATGGTTTGTGGGCTTCCCTACAAGTGTTGATCTTTCAAGTTTTTTTTTCATTTTCCAATGATTTGCAGGAGCACAACTTGGGTAGTGATGTTCCTCTGAAGAACCCGGATAGAAATGTGTCCTCTTTTGCAATGCAACTCAAATATGCTCAAGCTCTAGAATCTGCTCTGGATAAAACGAATAATGGAGGCCGTTGTAATTTGAATTTAGAATCAGCTCATCTGGATGACAATGATGATGAAGAGACAGGCTCTCCGGAAGATGAATTTGCAAATCTTTCTGATATCTTTAGGGAGCTGGGATATTGCATGATGGAGCTGGGGCTTCGTGTTACGCAAATATGTGATATGGCCCTTGGCGGTCAACAGTTGGAACGGAGCTTACTGGAATCAGGGACAGCAAAAGGACGCCTTATACATTACCATTCTTCTCTAGACAACCTACTCATAAAAGCAAGTGGGAGAAGGAAGGGATCCACAAAAAAGCAGGCTTATTGTGAGAAGAACCAAGTGCTGTTATTAAGAAGTGAGCAAAAGCAATCAGAACGCTGTAACTTGGTTGCAAGTGGTAAGGAAGTTAGATCAAGTGGAAATCAGGGAAACCTATGGCAGCAGTGGCATTATGATTATGGTATCTTCACTGTTCTGACAGCACCCATGTTTCTTATGCCCTCCCAATTGTCAGAAAATACCGCAACAGATCAATTTCTAGTTTTGTGTGATCAAGACTGCCCTTTCCCAACTGGACATTCATATTTGCAAATCTTTGATGCCAATACAAATGATGTCCTCATGGTGAAAACTTCTTCAGAAAGTTTCATCATTCAGGTCGGTGAATCGGCTGATATCTTATCGAGAGGAAAGCTTCGCTCAACCCTTCATTGTGTTTGCAGACCCCCAAACTTAGAAAATCTAAGCAGGGAAACTTTTGTTGTGTTTTTGCAACCTGCATGGAGCAAAACTTTCTCATTCTCAGATTATAATGTGCATCACAGCATGTTAGGTCGCCATTCTTCAAATGAGGGAGATGGCCTTACTGAGCATGACTTTAATGAAGTAGCTCGAGAAATTCATAAAATCGTTCCCCCACTTTCATCACGGTTGAAGGATGGGATGACATTCGCAGAATTCTCACGTGAAACTACCAAGCAATATTATGGAGGCAGCGGTTTACAATCAAACAGTTAGCTCCTTGCCTTTCTATTAGCAGTCGGATTCAATTTTGGGTAAGACTTCTGATTTCTGTTCTGTTATCTCTTTGCTTGATGTTTTTTATGGGTGAAAGAGATGGATATATAGATTAATTTTGTGAGAAAATAGTTTCTTGAATCAAACATATTTGGTAACTCACCAATGACCTACCTTCCTTGTGTAGCTAAAGATCTGCACTGGTTTGGTCTCTGTGAGTTTCATGATACCATATAATGTGAGCAGTTACCATAGGCCTTTGAGCTTGGTTGGGTGGTTGCTATTAGTATATGACAGTGGGGCTATTTTTTGGAATAAAAGCTGCAATTTAAGCTACTGATGCTTCCATTACCTAGAACAGTTGATGGTGGATTCTTACATCCTGAATATAGAGACAGGCGGACCGGCAGATAATTCGTCTTCAATGGTCTGTAGAGGGACAGGTCCAAGGTTACTTCATATTTGCTATGAAGGGATGATCTTTGAAGTGCCAATCATAGCTTCTCTACATGTCATTAAGGTTGACAAAGTCAAGATGCAGGCGCTGTCTTCTCCTTGATTTCTAGCTGGGTCAGTCGTGTTCCTTCCATGTAAGGGAGACAGCAACTGGATTTAGATTAGGTGTGCCCTCAAGTCTCAACCAAAAGTTTTACCTTAAAAATGATTACAAACGCCTGTTTCCGTGTGAAAACTCTATTTTGGGTTTAGATATTGGAGAAAGGTAATAACTTGCAAGACATGAGGCATGACACCTTCGATTCTAGTTTTTTCCGTCGTAGACTAATGGGTTTTTTGACCTGCGAGATATGTAGAAAGAAATAACCCTGTATGTGCAGATGGAAAGGGTCCAGCAATTCCAATATACTTTCTCTGGTTACTTGATTGTTTGACCCGCAGTGTCTGTTCTAGTCAGTCTTATTAGCCAGGCAGGCCCCTAGCCTGGCACGAGCCCACTTTTATGATGTACCACTGGCTATGCATTGAGACACATAATCTTAGTGTCTCGTTGCCTGTTCCATTCGTTAGCCGTTTGAAACGGCTAAACGAGAACCAGCAATCCTGTTTGCCATGCATTCACCATTTTGATAGCAACTTCGTTATGGTAATGTTGGGCAAAAGTTTCTGGGGTAAGAAATTCTAACATAGGGCCACAGTGCTGAACACTTCTTTTACATACATGTAAGTTTTTATTTTTTTTATTGTAGTGTATGAACCTTACTAGCAGCACCCAGCCTGAAAAAAGTAAAAAAAGAAAGAAAAAAAAAGAGGTGGGGTTGGAACGGCTTGGAAATTTCATTTCATTTCATGTAAAGTGACAAAGAATTAGAGGTTTGAATAAATTAGCTTTGAAAATGTATTATAAAGCTAGATCAACCATTGAAATATACATGTGAAATGCAAGGGAAAAGCTAAAGGTGGGTAGGGTGGCTGCATGATCATAGAGTGAATCTGGCGGAAGGAATAAAGGGCATCTCTTTATCCAGTGGAGATCATTGTGCAAGAATCGCTCTAGAAGACTTTTATAAAAGAGACCCGGTTTTCTTCTTCTTTCTGATTTTAAACTCTTGATTTTGTACAGGAAAAAAGAAAAGAATCATATAAATGCAGGCCTTTGTGACGGGGGAAGAAGAGGAGGAGGAGAACAAAGCAGAGATGATGACGTGGATAGGCACGCGCATTTTAGCGCAAGTCTCCCCTCTCTTAAATGGACAGGGCAGGCAGCTTTGTGTCTGAAATTGTAGAGGCAAAACTGTGAACCTCAATTTGTTTGGACCTCTGAAGCTTGTCAGCCTGGGATGTCGCCAAGCCTCTGAGACATTCGTCCAGGGGGGGATATATTAATCACAATGGACCCCATCAAACGTGCTTCCCAGCCTCTCCCTGCTTCCCTTTCTCGGAGCTCTTAAGGTGTCCACATTATCAATTTTGAACAGGATCTGTATAAAAAAGTACATGTTGATTGGACCCATTATTCAGAGAAGAAAAAAAAAAATTAACCCGTTTACAAGTGCAATATTTTTTTGTTTTAAAATGTTTTTTAAAATATATTTATTTTCAAAAAAATATTAAATTAATATTGTTTTAGTATTTTTAATGATTTTAATGTGTTTATGGAATTTTTTTTAAAATTAATATATTTTAAAATAAAAAATACTTTAAAAAATATTATGTTTCATAATATTAAACATGTTTTTTTTTGTTTTATTATTTTAAATATTTTTTTATCATGTTAATAAAATAACATAAAATTTATTGAAAATCACTTTTAAATTATTGATTTTGTAATTTTTCAGATAAAAACATTTAGAAAAATAATTTTTATCTGTGTTACCAAGTGTTGGAATTTTAGGCACCATTTGTTTTGAAATTTTTTTATTTTAAATTAATTTTTTTAAAATCATTTTAATTATAAAAATATTATTTTAATATATTTTTAAACATAAAACATTATAAAGAACAATCATTACAAAAAATGATGAGTAGCTCACAGTGCCGCTTGTTACACAATGCTTGTTAATTAAGTACTGTAGATAATTATTAGCTCAACCAATCATAGAGGGCTGATATCAGGTTCCAAAGTATCATGCCACGTGAAGTACTTTATTTACCGTGTACCAGACCTTACCATAAATTTACAAAAAGCAACCATAGAGGCATAGACCATCGTCCCTATAAAGTGACTGGCCCCTAAGCTCCTACAACCTTTGCGGCTCAAAATTTGTACTCCTTGCTACTAGTTCCAACCCCACAGGCTCTCTTCTTGACTCAACAGCTACCATGGAAGAGATCCCTCTTCTCAACCTTCGCCGGCCAGCTAACAGCCCATTCTGCAGCAATATTCCACTGCCAGAGAGCCCAAAACTGCCAATGGAGTTCTTGTCAAGGTCATGGAGTGTCTCAGCTCTTGAAGTCTCAAAACCCCTCTCTTGCATGGCCTCTAACAAGTCTGCTAGCAGCTCTACTTGTACCGACGCTTCTTCTATACCGGAAGATGTCACCGGTGAGATGACCGAGGAGATTGTGCATACTAATCCGTTTGCCAACCAGTTTCCTTTTGCTTCTTCTGCTACTTCCCAGCTTGTACTTGAACGTATCATGTCACAATCAGTAAGTCCACATAATCACAGGCTTCAAAGTTTTGAGATTTTGACTGGCCAGTTGTTATGTTTTCAGACAAGAATCCATTTTCTCTTATGTTGTAATATTTTGAGGAACTCTTGGTCGAGCTTATGATTTTACACTTGAATTATTCTTCGTGTTGTAGGAAGTGTCGCCACTGGCTTCAGGGAGGCTCTCTCACAGCAGTGGACCTTTGAACTTGACGGAATCAGACAGCCCCCCAATTTCACCCTCTGATGAATTTGAAGACATTGTTAAGGTCTTGTATACATTTCTTTTCCTTGAAGATAATTCATGTCATTCTATTTTGTCCAAGTTTTCTCGGGGTAGAGGCTAGAGATAGAGAAGACATTCTACCACCTATAAGCTTTTGTATTGTTCCAATGACACTTTTTCCCCTTTACATCATTTTGAGTTGTCTTTTCCACTAAAGAGGCTGTTAGTAATTGCGTATTCGATTTTTTTTAAGTGTATTTTTAGAAATAATTTTTTTTAAAAAAAATTATTATAATATATTTTTAAATAAAAAATATTTTTAAAAATCATACGATACCAAACAGATTTAGTCTTCCGTAATCTTTAAAGAGAAAATGAACAAACAAAAAAAAAAAGGTTGCCACCTGAGATTAGCTGTTACTCCATGGCAGACCCTGGCATTTTTTTTTCCTTAACCATGGCACAGTTAATATTTTTTTAGTTAGTATTTGGTAGGGCTAAAGAGATTGTTTTTTAAAGTATTTTTTTTATAAATATATTAAAATAATTTTTTTATTTTTTAAAATTTATTTTTAATATCAATAATTAAAAAAATTAATTTTAAACATAAAAATTCAATTTTTTTATAAACAACCGTACACCCATGTCGTTAATATGTTTTTCTTAATTGTACATGATTAATTAGTTTGACAACATGTTTCCATTACCTGGACTGAACTGGTCTTGTTGCTTTACATTACTTTGAAGCTAGAACTTTGAGTCCATCATTTAGTTATTTTTTTTTCAAGAATGTGTTTTCTGGTATGCACTAAAGAATTCAAAGATGTGATGGTTTCCAGTATAATAATAATAATAATAAATCATTTATTTTTTTATTTCTTACCCTGGCATATGAACTCAATCAGGACATGATTACATACTTACGAAAAATTCTCACCCTGTCCTTTGATGTGGTCGAATTCATTAATAAAAAAATAACGCTGAAGAACTATTCAGGTCTCAGGTACAAAAAAATATCTGCAATCTTCCCAATCTCTCACCATTTTACCCCAAAGAATCATCCTTTCAGTTTCAAATAGATGTATATGCAAGCTTACTGTAGTTTGTTTTATTTTCTCCTCAAGGAAATGAACAGAAATTAGTGTTTTCAAAGCTGGAATGACATACAACCTCTCTAGTTGTACATGCACATTTGTTGCTGATGATACTTTTGCGTTCTCTGTGCAGTATTTTCATTCTCACAACACCTTGAACCCCCTATTCAATGGTGGCCGTGCCAGTGCTGGACCTGGTAGTGGTGCCCCTCCAAGTGGAGCCAAGACAGTTGGGAGGTGGTTGAAGGACAGAAAAGAGAAAAAGAAAGAAGAAACTAGAGCCCGGAATGCGCAGCTCCATGCAGCTGTTTCAGTTGCTGCGGTGGCTTCTGCCATAGCAGCCATTGCAGCAGCCACAGCTTCTTCAGCATCAGGAAAGAATGAGCAATTGACCAAGACTGACATGGCCGTGGCATCTGCGGCTACATTGGTGGCTGCTCAGTTTGTGGAGGCTGCTGAGGCTATGGGCGCTGAGCGGGACCATCTTGCTTCAGTAGTGACCTCTGCTGTGAATGTTCATTCACATGATGATATCACCACTCTAACAGCAGCTGCAGCTACTGGTATGACTTTTCACTTTATGCCTGATAATGTTTTGCAAGTATTCCTGCAAACTGTCCGTTTCTAGCCCGCATTTTGAAAATTTAAGATAGCCCATCGAAGTTATACTTTAATCGTTTGGTGAATTGGGTTTCTTTTTGGGCTGTTAAGACATACTTGATGATCGTCCCATACAAGCCACTTTGGCCTGCAAATTTGACAAAATTTGGAGTGTCGATGATGTTTTTTACATAAGTTTCATGTCCATCAATACTGTTATAGCTGCTACAGTCCCTTAATCTTAAAGCACTTCTGGATGAAAAATGGAATTCGAGGATGGTTATTTTCCTTTCCTGTTCAGCTCTACGGGGGGCAGCAACCTTGAAGGCAAGAGCATTAAAGGATGTTTTGAACGTTGCAGCGGTAATACCAATGGAGAGAGGCATTGGAATCCATGGTTTGGGAAATTATGTCCTTCATAACCGAAGCTACAGCGGGGAGCTTTCCAATGGGGAGAATTTCTCGGGTGCCTGTAGTGTAGAGTTCCTCGCCAGGGGCAGTGAGCTTCTCAAACGCACCCGCCAAGGTAAATTAATCATCCAACATTTTTTCATCTGGTTAGTTTTATCACCACGGAACTGAATATTAAACGGTCTACATCCGTCAGTCTTTCTATATCTCCTTTCCTCTGGAGAAAACAAAATATAACAGTCAATATTGATGTCATTGCAGGCGATCTGCACTGGAAAATTGTCTCTGTTTACATACACAGAACAGGACAGGTGAAATTTTTTGAAATGTTTTAACATCTTATTAACTAACTTCCAATTTCTACGTAATTCACCTGAAATATTATCTTTTTTCATTTTAGGTGATGCTAAAGATGAAGAGCAGACATATCGCAGGAACTATCACCAAAAAGAAAAAGAGTTAGTATCCTGTTACCAACACCGCCAATTACTTAGGAGCACAAATTGTAATTCTAAGACCCTTACACTTGACATGTCTTGTGAGATACAGATGTGGTGTTGGAGGTTTGCAAGGATTTGCCAACATGGCCAGGGAGACATCTGTTAAAGGGTGGAGATCAGCGTCGATACTTTGGACTGAAGACACTAACAAGAGGTATTGTGGACTTCGAGTGCAAGAACCAGAGGGAACATGATATCTGGACTCAAGGTGTTTCAAGGCTTCTCTCTATTGTATCCCAAAGAAAGAACAGAATCTCAATCTAGCGTTCCACTAGAACTAAAGGCAGTGGGTTTGTTTTTATGACTAATTAGCTAGGCTTCTGAACATACAGGAACCACTGTTGATTTTATCCTTCTCGGAAATGTAAGTGCAGTGTAGGCATAAAAGAGGTTTGCTTTTGGAACTAAAATGATACTAGAGGGTAAAAAATCATGTACATGC